TAATATGCTGAGTTATACTCACTAAGCAACAGCATGGAGCTGCTGACACAGTACTGGGGAGTGATTTATCCTGCAGGCTAATCTCCAGCAAAATGGAATGATTTTCAAATCTATAAATACTGGGTGATTATAGACTGGAGACCTGCATATGGTACTATTAGAATTCAGCTTTTTCAAAGGTATATTTATTTTAGGTTTGGGGGAACCTGAAATGTGTTCTGGGAAAAGCAGGAACGGTAACCCTTTCAATAGAAGCCACTAAAAATTATTCAAAAATTGGATTTTTATAGTGTATCAAGTATTTCCACCAGGAATGGAGCAAGAAGGAAGCATAATATGAGAGGGAGGCATGTCTCCATGCTCCTAATGGCAATCTTATTTACCTTGAGGTTTCATGGATTAAGGGATTCATCCTGTTTGCAGTTTTCAGTGGGAAACCTTGTGATTTACTCCTCTGGCTTGAGCTCTCCCAGGCAACACTGGGACATTTTCAAGGAAGAAGCTTCGTGCTGTTGCTCCGTTGAATAAAGAACTGCATGAACACAGCAAGGGCTCAGAGATAAATCTGGGTGGGATTATCAGAGACTCCCTGCAAGGCACAGCTCACAACATCAAGGCACTCAGCCCTCACCCCGAGCCTGGGGCCCGAGCCTGGGGCCCGAGCCTGGGGCCCAAGCCTGGGCCACTGGAAAAGCAAAGCCGGTCCAAATGTTATTTTTTAGAATACAGGAAGAGGCTGGTTACAGATTAAAAATAAAGGCTGTGTTTCTACCTCTGAAGCTGGGCAGTTTGTGAGGACAATGAGAGCTTGGTATGTTTGTTTGAGGATATTTATTCAGTTATGCTTCCTGCTGAATGGGACCAAAAAAAATTAGTATGGGGCATGCACATATAAGTGAATTACAATTTCAATTTAATTATCTGCTGATTATTTTCTTTTGAGTCATTAATAAAACTGACCAGCATTTTGGAATGGTTACATTAAAGCTCTCATGGTTGCACTGGAACACGCCCACTATGATATGGAACGTAACCATGTGGTTAATGAACTCAGTTCATTAACACTGAATGAGGTTAGGCACAAATTTGGAAAGTGCAACGTGCACAACTTGATAACTTACATTATTTATGAAATCTTTTCCTAGGCAGGCATTCCAAAATATCTCTGGCAGTGCAATGCCTGTAGTGCCACGTGTTGTGGAGCATACACAGCAAGGCACAGGCACTCAATTTGAACAGGAACTAATCCTTGCAGAAGATCCTGCCCTCTGTGCTTGTTAATTCTGTTCCTCCAAGCGATTTCTTGCTAATACAGCACACCTTTAGTGACAATCCGTGGCTTAAGCCGTGTAGCTCAGTGGTTTTAAACTCGTGAAATGTGCACTAATCCTCTCTGCGCTCTGATAAATTGGCTTTGGTGCTGTTAAAAAGCTGAGTTTGTGGAGGAGACCTGTGTTTGCTGGATGTGAGGGTCGTGCCTGTGCCAAAGCTGCTCTCCAGTCAGAGGTGCTGCCCTGCAGTCACCCAGAGAGGTGAACACTCCCCTGCACGTTCTGGGGAGCAGTCACGGTTTGTGGGACTCTCTCAAGAGCATTCCCTCATTGAACCTTCCTGACTGCACCTTGAGGACCCATTGGTAGCAGAAATTTTTAATGTCACCCTCTCATTACAGAAAATAGGGGTAAAGGAGGGAGGAATAACCTCCCTCTAACCAGGGCAAGGGGAAAGGCTCTCTCTGCTGTAAAAATTCCTTCCAAACTTCAGAAAACTTTTACAAGTAGCCAGTGTGATGGAGTAGTCATTAATTCCCTACAATTTGAAATGAAATTATCAGAAGACAAGGCTTCTTTTTCAGACTGAGAAGGATTTGAATGGCTGAAGTGTCTCTTCCCTGCTGCTGCCTGCAAGCTTCCCTTCAGTCACCTTCCCAGGCACTGGTGTGAACAGACAAACTCAGCATCATCTGTGACCTATTGCTACAACACCTACACCTTCTAGAACTGGAAAAGACTAATGAAATCAAAGGCTCTGAGTCCAGCAGAACTCAGGTTTTTTTTTCCCAGTGCAGTTTTTCAAAAAGCATTAAGAAAGTTGTGTCACAGCATCTGCTGAAAAAAATCATCACAGTGCAGGTGACAATTACTTTTCAGTTGTAAGGCAAAGCTTGTGGGTAAGTGTATTATGGCCTAATTCCTAATAGTGCATTCAGCACATGTGATCCATTCTTTTCCTGGGCAGTTCATTGATGCAGTTCATTAATACAGTTCTATTTTAGCTCTTAGTTAGCAGTGATGGCACACGAGGGGATGGCAGGAGGCTGTACCAGGGGAGATTTGGGCTGGACATCAGGAAAGAGGCTTCACCCAAGGGGTGGCTGGGCACTGGAACAGGCTCCCCAGAGAAGAGGTCACAGCACCAGCCTGGCAGAGTTCCAGAAGTGTTAAGACAAAGCTCTTAGGCACAGGGGGTGACTCTTGGGGCTGTTCTGTGCTGGGAAGGAGCTGGACACCGTGATCCTCGTGGTGGATATTCTGTGATCCTCTGATTTTTCCTTGGCATCTGAATTCAGCTCCTAAAACATTTGTATAACAATTCATTTACCTATAAACTTCTTGATAAAAATTGGATAAGAGTTTTCTAAATGTTCATTCAGGATGATTGAGTCTGGAATGGAAACTTTTGTATTTGGTAGTGGCAGTAAATTTAGAGTACTCACAGAATGAATTCCCAGTCACCACGTGGAGCACCGGAGCCGAATACACAGTGACTTTGCCACAGCTCACAATGAGAAGGATGCCAAAATGCACAGTTGAAACAACAGAGAGCTGGTGGGATTCTTTGTGGTCAGGGAAAACCTGACTGATTCAACAACACTGCCTTCTTCTGAAGGGTGGTGACCAATTCAGGAAAAAACATCCTCTCAACATTTGCAAGACTGGCAAATTCCCAAAGGTGGCTTCAGTCAATAATATCTTTAAATGGCTTATGAAATTCTGGTCCCCTCGGAGTTGCAGCACAAGAGAGAATTTCACAGCTACCAATATTCAGCACCTTGGAGCTGGGGAAATACATTTACATGTACATTTACATTTACATTTACATTTACATTTACATTTACATTTACGTATTGGAAGTTGCTCTCACAGCAGGAAGGACAAGTGAAAACTTTGCTTCCTGTTTCCCTGGTTATGTGTATCAAGCTGATCCCTGGGAAAATTTCAGAGATCAGTTATTTTCTTGTAATGTTAAGGGCAGGTGTTAGCCAGGAGAAATTTCTCCTGGCTGTGCTGACGCCTCTTTAACCTGCAGGACTTCTCACAGCATCCCAAGCAGGGATATTTTGCACTCTGATCCTCCCACCAAGTGAGTCAGTGACACAGTTTGTTGCAGCAGGTTTGCTTCCAAGTGGGAGCTATCAAGAGGCACTGAACAGTCTGAGTCATAGCAGCCACCTCGATATTATCCCAGCCTTTATTAGCTTTCCAGCCACCTGAAACGCTGACCTTCAGAATGGAAAAGGTGATGGGGTTAAAAGCTGGTTATTCCTGACAAATAGCCCATAATATCAGCCTTTTCCTTCTTTGACTGCATCTCTTAAACAATAGCACAAGCACCTACTTTTGAATGACTGAACGTGTTTGGTTTTTTCTTTGCATGAGCTGTGAGCTGAAGCAAAGATGCCTCTCTTGAGCAGGGATCAAGTGACCTGTAGAATTCCCTCCTGACACACCATTTCTCTACAGCTCTGTGCCAGCAATGCTTTTTGTGCTGCTTATGTCCCCTGCTAACTCATGAGGTGACAGAAAGTGGCTGCACAGGCTCTGGGCATTGATCTGAGCAGCTGTCTCAGAGACAAACCTGTGCCAGGAGCTCTTTCCAGGTCTTTTCCCTCTCCTGCTGTGTCATCCACCACCCTTCAGCTTTTGGAGGGAAGGAGCCAGCTTGGGAAAGATGGGAAGCTATTGCACAAAGCTAAGTAAGCAAGATAAACATACTCCACAACAGCTGCACTTCCCTTCCTTATAAATCTTGGAATGTGGCCTTGAAATTGTTAATTTTAAGGATCAGGTAGTTTTTTTATTTTTTTTTCAGTCAAGAATGAAATATTAAGTTACAGGCAGCAGGTCTGTGAAGGCGTGAATTCACTGCTCAGTCAAAAAAAATGCAAATCAAATCAAAGAAATAATTTAATACAATCTGCTTTTTTTTATGAAAGAGCTGGACTTCCCTCTTAAAAAAAAAAATAAATTAAAAATGATGCTTTGTAACTGCAAACAGGGTTTGCAAACTTTCTAGTGCTTTTCTGGAACCCTGATGCCATCAACACAGGAAAGGGTTGCAAATTACTCTGTCAGTGAAGCAGATGGATAAGTACTGGAGGGAGCTTGTCTGTGTGAGGCACAGGGAGCTGCTGTTGTTATTATTGTTATTATTGTTATTATTGTTATTATTACAATGGACAATTAATAAGAACCCTTGCTCTGCTTCTGGTGGAGACTTTCCCGTTGCCATAGACACTTCAGACCTGTCACACCTGAGTTCATGCAAACCTGAGAGTTGCAAAAAGCTTTGTCCTGCCCAAACCATTTATAATTTTTTCTCTGTGAATGACTCCGTGGGTTTCCTCCCGCAGGCCAGAAGGAAAGGCACTGGCATTTGTGGCTGCTTGTCAGAGAAACAGGCAAATCACTGAAAAACAGAATAGAACAAAGCTTTTCCAGTCCCTGACAGGGCACCCCATCATTTAAATGTGTGTCATCTGCAAGGACTGAGTGCTCTTTAACCTCATTTACCCCGGAGAACTTTGGTGGTCTAGCAGCAGAGTGACTCGAGTCTTGTGTGCACATGGATGGCTGTTTTATCAGATATGCTCCAGAATGAGAATTCAGCTTTTACTGCATAACTGTAGCTCCCTAAAGGTGTATTTTTAGCTTTTAATCCTGCTAGGGGTAGAAAAATTGTTATTATTGCTTCACATTATCTTTCTTTTCTTGGAACAGGATAACGTGGATCTTGGTGACCTGATGTTTTCGCTCTGCTACCTTCCAACAGCTGGTAGACTAACTATTACAATAATAAAGGCAAGAAATTTAAAGGCAATGGATATCACAGGAGCATCAGGTAGGAATGAATTTAATGCTCAGTGTGGATTTCTATCCCATTTCCCTCCCAAGGCACAGAATTCAACACTGTCCAAATCCCAGAATGATTTTTGAGAGGAGTGTTGTTACACTGCAAACTCTGCTTGAGTACAGGAGTTGATGAGAAATAAATAATACATTTTAGTTTGCTTAGCTCCAAGCAACAGTTTAAAATAAGTTGCTCTCTCAAAAAGACTGTGAAATTATTATTTCCAATGTCCCTGTAATTCAGAGCTGGCCAAAATGCATTCCCAAGGCTGGGAATTTGTACAGCAGACTGTTAGAGCTGTGACACAGACACAGATTGGCCCTCTCTGGCAGCCCCCAAGAGCCACTGAGCCAGCTCTGCTGTTGCTGGCATGTGGAGAAAGCAGTGATCACCCCAGAATCCTTTCAGCAACCCTTTCAAAAGCCCACAATAAAAACTATAAACATAAATAAGGTTTCATAGGCGACTTTTAAATACTAGCAAGGAGTTATAGAGCTCTCAGAAAGGACCTACAAAGAAACAGCTCTCTTTTTTTCTACCTGCAGGACTCTAAAAATAATTATAATTCTCTTGAGAAATACAAGCCACTAATTGTTGCCCTTTGAATTGTATTTAACCATACATCAGTAAATCCCGTTGTGAAAAGCATTGTCATCTTCTGTCTGTCCTACAAATCTAACAAGTAATTAGGCTGCTATAAATAGGCTGATACACAGGCTGTTGTATAAAATAGTCATGTATAACACGCTTCAGTGAATATTTTAATACCCTTTGAGGAGCTGGTACACAACAAAGAGCTTCTTGAACCTAAAAAGTTGATTATAAGCAGGTAAAGCTTTCAAAGCTGCAGTGCCTCCCGTGCATTCCACGGTAACAGAGAAGCTCAGATCCCAGTCAGGTCCAGGAGATCAATCCTGCAATCAGGTATGGGCACACAAGAAGTTCTCCCTTCACTTTCCATCTGCATTTGTCAAAAATCAACATTGTTCTTGTGACCCACACAGATCCCTACGTGAAGGTTTCTTTAATGTGTGAAGGAAGGCGGCTAAAGAAAAGGAAAACTTCCACCAAGAGGAACACCCTAAATCCCGTTTACAATGAAGCCATAGTCTTTGATGTCCCTCCAGAGAACATTGACCAAATTAACTTGTCGATAGCTGTTATGGATTATGACCGGTGAGATGCCTGTAGCTGTCAAATGTTGGCTGGGAAAGTCTTGCACGCTAGATTTGCACCCAGAAAGAAAGTTGGTTTTATTTTCCCTGTAAGTGGGGAATTCGTGTCGTGTTGAGCTTGGTAGAAGCCTCCAATTTTTTTTGTTTTGTCGGGCAGAATTTCCTGACTAGATTTTTAAATATAGATTAGTGATGAGTGACATCAGGAAGCTGCATCTGTGCCCAACAGAACTGAGGTGACTGGGCATTTAATCGTTCTGTTTGCGCATTTCTGCCAAGCCTTTGCACACACTCCCCATTTATAAAGTTGTGTCTTAGAGCCTGCTTGCCTTTGCAGCTAATTACAGAGCACGGGCAAAGAGCCTTTTGTGTGCTACGAGGGGGGGAATATCAAATTGTTCTGAGCAGTGGGCAGCGCAAAGAGCAAACCCACGCATTTCCTAGCGCGCTATAGCTCCGGGCAAGCATTAGTCCTTAAAAATCCACGGCTGACGTTTCTGATGAAATATACAAACGGTGTGGTTCCCAAGGTCAAATTTTAAGAAACAAATATTATGGACCATTTTCACAGTGTAGGTCACAATGAGGTCATTGGAGTTTGTCAAGTAGGCAACGATGCAGAGAGCCTAGGTCGCGACCACTGGAACGAAATGCTCTCGTACCCTCGGAAGCCCATCGCTCACTGGCATCCTCTTGTGGAGGTAAGGCTTTGATTTGTTGCTTCCCCCCCTGCAGCACTTGTGAATATTCTCCCACACGGCATTAGAAGTCGGACAGAATTTTGTGAGCCAGCCCGAGATCCGCGCGCGTGAGGTAAATCCTAGAAAAGGGTTTGGAAACGCTTTAAAATCGAGAGGTGACACACGAGTTAAGTCTGCTCCTTTCCATGGTAGGGAGACAGAAGGTTACTGTTGTCTATAATATATAGACATGAAAACACCAAACACTGCACAGCTGAGGGTTTGGTTTTGCCTTTTAAATAAGATCTTGGGTAACTTTCACTGTTAATTGATAGAAAGAAAAGGACCTTGTTTACAGAACAATCAAGACCAATTCTCTTTTTGTATGCGACAGCCTAATTTGACTTCTTTTCTCGTAACAATATATCATCCATGGCACTAGCACATCTCAAAGGATGCCTAACTGCACTGAAAAAAAAATATGTTTAAGTGTCTCTGGAGATCTGAGGCGCTGATAAGAAGCGACACAATCAGAAAAGCTTTTCAAGGTTCCTATGTTTTTTTTGTTTTGTTTTGTTTTGTTTTTTGTCTTTAGGGCCCTATTCAGCAGGAATGTTATGCAGGTCTTCTGCGCTTGGATGGCTGCCGAAGAGGCTTCCTCACCCTTTTAACCTATTCAGCAGAAATTTGGCATTCCTGTTGAACTCTTTCTTAGCCATATCCTCAGGGGCTATTCCACAGAGTCCAGTGGGGTAAAGATGTCCTTTTAATCCCTCTGTCTAATCCTCTCCCCAATACAGGGAACACTAATCCTGGTTCATGAGACACAGAAATTAATCAAAGATCGAACTAAATTGCTTCCTAAAGTTACCCTGGCTTACTCCCATTGTTGCTGTCACTGGCTGAGTCAGGCAGTGCTCCCAGTCAAAGGGAAATATCTTGTTTATGAGCAGCCCCAGAGTTCTCCTCAATGCTGAAAGACAGGAAAGAGCACAGCGCCCACACCAAGCCAGGAATGATGCTGTGGGCACTAGGAGGCAGGCAGTTCTCAGCCCCTCTGAGTTCACTTTCTGCACCAGAGTGCAGCTGGGTTACCACAGTGCCACTGAAGATTGCCCTGTTTGAAATGAGCACCGGCCATAGGCAGTTCCAGAAAAGATTGTCAGGCATTATGAAGATGCTGCAAGCCGGGAGGAGTCCCACAGTTTGTCCTGTGTCCGTAAGGAATTGCGTTTCCTGGTGCCTGGGCAGCAGGGCAGCACAGCTGGAGCAGGGAGTGCCCAGGGGCTGTGTGGCAGGAGGAAAGCTCCATGCCCTCTCAGCACAGCCAGCAGTGGAGCAGCTCTGCCCAGGGCAGCTGCTGGCTGAAGTGCCACGCTTGAAATGCTGACCTGGGCATTTGGGAGCTCTCAGCTGTGGCCAAGAGTTGATAGGAACGTCCTGGCACAGCACACGAGGTGTAGTGTAAGGGCTGCTATTGCCCAGAGCACAACAAGTGTCTCTCAGCAGAAGTTGTCTACATCCTTATATCCAACCTGTCTTCCCTCTTTGATAAATTTCATTGCAGCCAGAGCCCACAATTAGGTTTTGACAGCTCTTCCCTTTTCGCAGGCATCCTGTTCTTTTCATACATGCCTGGCTAACTTCTTTAGATTTCATTACTGTGGATTGCTTTTCATGTCACTGAAAGCTAAACAGAGCCATATTTTTTTTTCCTTCCCAGGAATCAAGTGGGGGAGGGTGTCCAGCGCATCCAGGCTGTGCAGAGAAATATATACACAGCATATCATTTTGGTTCCTGAATCAGGACTAGACTCAGCGAGAGCTTCTGGAACCTCTGTGGCCACAGCCATAGGACCCTGAATATTTGCTGAATAGGACCCTCAGTCTTCTACTGTGTGAAGAGCTATTGGTTTCAAGTAGCGTGATGTTATCCACTTGTAGCATTAATTCTCCAGCTGACACTTCTGCTACTGATAGATTATTTGTATGGTCGTAAGCATTACCCAAATTCAAGTCTTCATTTCTGTTCAGTAGAATAACCCAGGTTCCACAAGCAAAGTGACAGCAACCTAAACCAACAAATATGGGAAGCAGCAACAAATATTGTCCTTGTATTTGCAAAAAAGGTGCAGTATTGTGAATGGTTAGCTTTCTGAGTATCTTTTTTTTTTCAAGAATGATTGCCATCAGATATTTATTTTTTGATGACAAGTTGCGTCCTCAGTGTCAGCTGGTGCCTCCTTTCACCTGACATGAAAACAAATTAATACGGTTCCTTGCAGAAACCCTTCAAATCTGAAAAACTGTAAAAAACGTTCTGCTGGGTGAGAACAAGATGCATATGGTATTTGTAATGACAGCATGTTCTTTGAGAAAGGAGATAGCCATCTGTACAACATGGAGGTTGTTAGTCCTCAACCTTTGGAGATGATTTTCCAGTCGACGTTTCTGAGTCGTGTCCACGGCGCTGCAAACTGTTGGGAGCGTGTCCCAGGTGGCAGTGCTGGATCATACAAACAAGCACACACACCCTGTGTTGTTTGAAAACGCTGTTCCAAGTCTATAGTGCCTGTGAAGACTTCCTTTATTATTTGTGGTAGAATTAGCAGGGCTGTTTTACATGATGGTATGTTGTAAATTCTGACAAATTCCGACCATTAAAAGAAAATGAATCTAAGCACTGCATTCTGTCATGTAATGAAATTTGTGCCCCAAAGCAGGATAAACCCTGGGATAAATTTTTCCCCACTTATTTAGCCACGCATGGAGTTCTCTCATCCTCCAGTGTTTTCTACAGAGAACTTGACTCACGTCTTTACCTGGGAATTTTTTGTTTAAAAGATGCAAATTATGGATGTTTTCTACAACAGAGGTGTCTGCTTACAGAGCTGTGTGCTTACAGAGAGGGAGCCCTGGTTGTTAAGTAGAGTTCAGATAAGTTAATGTGCACACACATTGCTTCACATCTTGAATGTGACGAATGTTCACCAAGAGTTTTAGAACTGCAGCTCTGCTGACACAAATTATGCATGCACAGATTGAAGAAATATCTAAAATTTTGGCCTCAAGTCTGAAAAGTTAGTCCCATAACCTATCAGTGCAGATCTTCAGAATTCAGAAAATCAGAATTACTTGTGAGTAGAGAATGTCTTGGAACTTGCAGGAGATCTTGGGTCTGCTGTGAATGTATGCTGCAGGTATAAATCCAAATTCCTGTATGCACAGCGGTTTTCAGAAATCTCTTGCCATGCTGTGCAGAGCACAGCTGCCACAGGCAAGGATATACCTGGCAAACTAAACAGCACTTCCAAACCTGCCCAAGCACAATTTCAGGAGGACAACCGTTGGGCATTTCCAAAAGAATGAAAATAATGTTGCCATGGCAAAACTGTTCAACTGCACCTTCAGCTTTCTATCAGGAGGCTGATGGTACATGACAATGTGCATATCTGCTCATGCATGAGCCTCCCCTGGGGCAGAATCCTGCGCTCTTTTACCCAGGCTCATCTCCCAGGAGCCACAGAGAGGAGATGGGCCTGAGCAAAGCAGGAGGAGCTCTTCCTTTGGAGTGGAGTTCTGTGATTTCCCAGATAAATCATTCTGCATCTCACCTCTGCCTGGAATGCAGAGCCAGGCACGCTTCCCACAGCAACATCAGCAACAGAAACTGCTGGGAAGGGGAGAACTGCTACACAACAGGCTCAGTGTGTCCCTGGAAAAGTGCAGGAGCCTTTCTAGGATTTGTCCCCAGCAGCTCAAAGGGGCATCAGCTGAAAAGTGGTATCATTGTAATTGCCAGTGGGTTGCAGTTCTTCTATTTTATTGCCATGCTCGGTTTATTTAATGCTCAAGGGTCTGGCATCAAAAGAATTATTTTGAATGGCGTTCTACTAAAACAGGGGAAGAAATCTTTGTGACAGTGAGCGTTTAAAGTGGAATCCAGCAGACTTCAAAGGTTTAGAGATGAGGAAAACCCCCTAAATTTATTGAATTCTCGACATTTTTGCTCATGACTTGCAAACTGTAACTCAGGCTGTGGCATTACTATGTGCTTTTTATAAATACCTGCCTTACCATAGTAGTGCATCTATGGAATGATAGCTATTTTCTATATTTGGATACTTCACTCTTCACCTTTATACTCCACTTTACCAGTGATATTCTCTAGACCCAAAATATTTTTGTGTTCTGGTTCTGGTTGGCCAGTAGACTGCTGCTGCTGTCTTCAGACTGTATTACAAAAATACCACAGCCTGCTGGAAGGACCAGAGGATGGATAATACTGCTACAAACTCAACTGGAAACCCAGGGAAAGGTATGGTCCCAATGCTGCTCAGTCTTTCTTTTCTGAGCTGTGATTCTCAGTGGTAAATTAGCAGCAGACTCACAAGAATGATTTCAAAGCTGAAGCCCTCATTTGTTTTCTTATTTGCTGTGAATGCATTATTGCCCTGTATGACAAGTATCATAACTCTAAAATAGAAGAGAAAATTGCTTAGAAATGCATCTCAGCAAGACTTTAATCCCATTTTGCTCTTTAACAACATGCTATTAACTGGTTACTTTTAGTTTTCCATAATAGCCCCCATGTCAGGTGTTGTTCTGTGGAAAAGCAGTGAGTGGCCATGGGAAAACCTCCCAAATTTCTGACAGTGAGGCCGAGTCCCACGGACAGTGGCCTGATATTCCCATGACAAAACACTCACAGCGCAGCTGAGTGCTCAAATATTTCTTTATCTGCTTCCACTGAAATCACAAGACATGAAAAGCATTGCTTTTTCCTTTTATTTCGCTTTTCCCTGCAAATAGCCCCAGCAGTGGATGAGCAAACATTCATCTCAATCTGGGGAAGTGGGGACTACAGAAAACAGAACAGAAAACCAATATGCAGCACAGAAGACCTGTTGTTAAAACTGTTGTTACCAGCCCAGTTTTCCATGCCATCAGGTCCATAAAACATAAAACACTCAGCAGGTATGAGACACTTGTTACATCGAGATCCAATTTAACCCCTGGTAGGGGAACTCCTGGATCAACACAAAATGAAACAACAGCAAAGGGCAGTGCAAAAGAATGAAAGAAAAAAAAAAAAAAAAGAGGTTATTTTAGTCCACCCTTCTTGGCTTGAGAGGATTGTTGTTGAGGGGGCTTTTGGGTTGTTTTCATTCTTTGGTTTGGTTTGGTTTCACGTGTTTTAAACACCAAGTGTGGTATGTAGCTATATTAACATGAGAACCCAAAGCCAGAGCCACAAGAGATATATATTGATTTACATGTTTATCACCTGGCAACATTTGAGCACTCGAGGGGACGTGTCTGCAATTGAAATTTAAAAAAAAAAAAAATAGATGAAAACTCTTTTGGTTTAAAAGTAACAAACAACAAACGGGGACCAGGAAATTCAGTTGAAAAATCTGTTTCTAGCTAGAAATCCATCTGAAATGACTTTGCTGTTAATGCATTTTGTTTGAACAGAAGGAAGTGAAAAAAGTAGATCAGGTGACTCCATCTGAAGTTTCATCGATGAAATGCTTTTTTTCCCCCTTTAGAACAGTGCATTGCCAAATGATCACATCTCAGTACCAAGAGAGAAAACAATGGATTTCTTACCTAGTAGGGGGAAATAAAAAAGCATGTAGAGAAGGGAATCCACAATAGTGCAGAACTCAGGAGAAGCCCCCCGTGCTGCGAGAAAGGGCGGCAGGATGGACTTGGTGCCAGCATCACCTGGAATCCTGGTGCCAGCATCACCTGGAATCCTGGTGACAGCATCACCTGGAATCTTGGTGCCAGCATCACCTGGAATCTTGGTGACAGCATCACCTGGAATCCTGGTGACAGCATCACCTGGAATCCTGGTGACAGCATCACCTGGAATCCTGGTGCCAGCATCACCTGGAATCTTGGTGACAGCATCACCTGGAATCCTGGTGCCAGCATCACCTGGAATCCTGGTGACTGCATCACCTGGGATCCTGGTGACTGCATCACCTGGAATCCTGGTGCCAGCATCACCTGGAATCTTGGTGACACCATCACCTGGAATCTCGGTGCCAGCATCACCTGGAATCTTGGTGCCAGCTCAGTTCAGAGGTGAAGTGACAGCCCTGCTGTGCCAGGTGCCCAGGGCTGGCCAGTTCCAAGGGCTGTGCTGACAGCTCCCCTGCCATGGCTGGGCTGGGCAGGGAGCCCCAGCTGGAAGTTCTCCAGGGCCCTGCAGTTCTCCGGGAGTGCATCCATCTCCTCGGAGACCCTCCAGGGGCAGGGAAGGCGCCGCGGGTGGAGCGAAGGCGCGGAGGGGAAGGGGACGGGAGGGTTTGCAAGCATCTGAGCTCTTCATTTGTTCATTCTGCCCGGGCTCTCTGGTTCCTGCTCCTTTCTGCTCAAACATGGACATTGTCCAAGGGAGCTGTTTCACTCCCCGCCTCGGTCCCCGTGGCAAAGGCGCCTGAAGAGAGCTGCGCCGTTTGGGTATAATTTTGGTTTTGATAACACATGAGCATTGTACTATACTTTATTATTTCTTGTTCAATAAATAGTCCTGGTATCTCTATGTTTCATGTCTAATTTTGGAGAGCAGGGCCGTACCTGTATCAAGGCTCTCTCAGTTAGGTGGGCATTTTGTTCGTTTAGTAGAAATAATGCATGATTCCTTTCGCAGTGGTGGTTTGAGGGACAAAAGAATTCTTAATTTTGTAATATGTATTACAATCTTCTAAACACGAGTTAAAATGTACTGTGATTTATTTATATAAATCTAGTCTGAACAAATAAGTTTTGATCTTAATAAAAACTGTAAGAAATTGTGCAATTGTAATTTATTACTATTTTGTATTTAATAAATATTAAAGTTCAATTCATTATTCAGAAAGCCAGCAAACACTTTGGGAACGTTTTTGCTCAGTTTTTCTCCACAGATAATGTGTTTTGATAAAGTACATGAGGCCAGAGAGAGAAAAAGCTTTTAAATTTACAGCACTCACACATAATTTAGGAGTTTGGATACTGAAACCTCCTCGTGTTTCATCCCATGTCGACAGTCATCGTGGCAGAAAGATTATTTGACATATCAGTGGTGAATCTCATCTATATTTCATATTAAGAAGAAAATTAAGGAGCTACAGAAGTGCCTCTATCGAGTGACTTTGTGTTAAATTACCAAAATTGGTATTTAGCATGGCATGCTGGCAAAATTAGCAATCCTGTCAACATGCAGCTCCAGGAAATTGTGGTGTGACCACACAAACTGCACCCAAAAAGGCATCACTCTTGTCCTTTTTCCTTCTCTTTCACACCAAGTGAGCTTGCACAGGAAGAGTCCTACCTGTGCACGACCTGTGAGTCAGGAAGAGCCTCTCTGTGTCTTTAGGGACAAGCTCAGCCTCTCCTCAGTTGGAAGGGCTGTCCTGCTTGCACACACCACGTTAATAAAGGGCTGCTGACGTGTGACACGAGGCACAGAACAATATTTCATGCCACTGAGAAATTAATTCAGTTCTGCTCTCTTCTCTTGGGGAATATTCGACATCGCGGGCGCGTGGAAAAGAAATGAGAACAGGCCTGGAGTTTGGAAGTTGATGCTGTCCTTAATAATAGGGATTTGTAGTGCTCTGAATAAAAAGGGAACATCTTGAGGCCCTGAACAGACTCCTGTTTTTCCATGGGTGTGCTGGGCTCCTGGGAGATGGAAGATAGACTAAGGGCACCTCTACAGGCTTTTTGTCCCTGGCAGTGAATGTAGTGATAATTACCCCTCTCTGTCCCAAAAAACACCACAAAATGCACCTCAGCAGAGGAGGTGTATGAACTTCAAAGTTGTTTTTAATGTTTTTCAGTAATACTGGTTTGCATGTCTCTATTTCTTCCTTAATAAGCAAGCAAAAGCCTCTTCCTCTGTCAAAACAGGCCCACACATCTCTCCTGTAGAGACACTTTTCCAGCAGAATCTTCCTTTAAGTCTTTATATGTATCCTACAGACTTGGAAAAAAGGAAAAAAGGGGCAGTGGTTGCAACATCCTGCTAATGACTGCAAGGCAAAGTTTGGGAATCCTCCCTGGAAAAGCCTGATCAACAGCAGATTAAAGCTGAGCAGCCCTGGGATCCTGCACGGCTGATCAGGCAGGAGATGGAAATTAAGGGAGCTGCCTCGTTAGTCAGGAGCTTTCCTGGCCTCTGCTTGTGAGTTCCCACAGGGGGAATGTCTGGGGAGGCCACAGCACATCCCAAGGAGCACCAGGACCAGGAGGGACAGCAGTGGCATGTCCCCAGGAGCTGAGGGCAGGAGCGTTAGAGGGAAATCTGCACCTCAGGAAGGAGCAGAGAGCTTCTAAAGACAGGATCCTGTCAGGAAACTTGGTGACTGCAAAAGTAACCTTCCCAGGGAAGGAAATCACAGAGTTTCTTCTTCTGAGAGCCAATTCCATCCACCTCTGACAGTACTGGCACTGGAATTTGTCCCAGTGGGCCCTAGCAGAGGTTTCTCATGTAAGCAACACATGGTTTTTATTCCCTGATTGGTGTTCTTATATTTCCATTTAAATAGAATCACATCATTCTCTGGGTGCACTTAGGCATTTATCATTGCCATATTAATTAACCACACACTTCAATTAATTAACCACACGCTTCAGTCTAGCCCACCACACCATCCAAAAGGTCATGGCTTTAAACCACTTAATTACAGGCCAAAAACCATTCTGTGAATTCATGTTCCAGTATCAGCACGTGTAGGAAAATCTGTTAATGTTCCAAGACATCAGAAGTGCCTGAACAGTCTGGTTCAAAGAGCTTGACTAAAGCTTATATTTAATATCTAATATTAAAGTCATTTAGAAGTGTCAAGAAATGTCAGCAAAGCTAGGTCCTCACCCAAAGATAAAACTGGCAATAAAAATATTTTTGTTGGAAAAACCATTCTTAATGATAACAACAAATTCCATACTGAACCCTTATTTTGTAATTTTCAATTTAGTAGGCAAAATCCTATTCCAATAATGTTACTGTAATCCTATTGTTTATATCCTGGTAACTGACACAAAAACAGCTTTAAAACAATATATTAAATAGAGTTCACCTACATTAGGTCTGCCAAAAATGGGATATAGTTTTAATAACCATCTTTTCAAAATGCAACAGTTTGGACCTTTTCCAATAACTTTTGCCTTCCTAAAAAAAAATAAAATAAAATAAATAATAATATATCATTCCCAACATAAAATAGTGTTAAAAATAACCAGGATAATATTTGAAGAATAATCACATAGCTTAGAGGAAATTCCAAACTCCTCAATCAGTTTTTGTATTTTAGTGAATCTCAAGTCCAAATATTTGCTGTTCCTGTGGAAATGCCTCTTCCATCTGCCAGAAAACAACCTTTGATACTGGTGTTTCCTCACTTCACAACCTCAGCTCTCCAAACATGTTGGCATTTTCCTCTCAGTTCAAATGGCTTTAATATAGACCACGTTTCAGGAAAAGAACAGTAAAAACTCAGAACATCTTTTGTAAGTCAGGCCCTGAATCAATTAGAAATGCAAGTATAATTTTGGAAAATACATAAGTTTTTCTATTCTTAGCAGAGCCCAGGTTTGCTGTCAGGTTTCCCTCAAATTAATTCATTTCTTGCATCTTTACCCAATTGTTTGTAAATGCTCCAAGACTTTTTCCCTTTCTACACTACTTAAGACACTTGAAAAGTTAAAGTGGATTGAAACAGGAGCAGTTTCCAAAATGACATTGGAGCTGTGTCATCTCTGGGTGAGGAAGGAGAGGAGGTTACTTCCTCCTGCTCTTACTATAAATCCATTTTAAATAAAAATTCACTGTTCCAAATAATAGGTTGAGATAACTCAAAAAATAAAATAGAATAAAACAGAATAGAATAGAATAGAATAGAATAGAATAGAACAGAATAGAATAGAATAGAATAGAATAGAACAGAACAGAATAGAATAGAATAGAATACAATACAATACAATACAATACAATACAATACAATACAATAAAATAAAATAAATAACATAACATAACATAAAATAAAATAACATAAAATAGAATAAAATAGAATAGAATAGAATAGAATAGAATAGAAAATAAAATATAAAATAAAATAAAAAATAAAATAAAATAAAATAAAATAAAATAAAATAAAAATAAAATAAAAAATAAAATAAAATAAAATAAAATAAAATAAAATAAAATAAAATAAAATAAAATAAAATAAAATAAAATAAAATAAAATAAAATAAAATAAAATAAAATAAAATAAAATAAGTCCTTCCTTTCATCAGGAGCATCTTTCTGATTGGGTGTGGGGCTCTGCTGAATTGCTTTTCCTTTTTCTCCAATGTGCAGTGCCACTCTGTCCCACTCCCTTTTCTACCCCTGCCCTGCCAAGGCAGAACAGCACATTTCAGCTAAACCTGCCAAATTCCTGCAGCTTCTCTGAGACCATTCATTCCCCTTGGAAATTCCACTGCAAGCAGAAATAACTTCTGAGTTGCATCTAGATACCTGCCTGATATCTTTTTTTTTCATTTTAATTTTTCATTTTAATTGTTGACTGGTTTGGTTTTTTGGTGGTTTTTTTTTTCTTTTTTTACTTCTGATATCTGCCTTTTTGCCTCCTCCTGTCCTCAAAATCTTTCCTTCATCCTCTTCCCCTCAGTGATGTTTGCTGGACAGATGAGTTCTCATTCTCCACATGTGAAGTGAGCCCAGGTCCAGCAGACAAGGCTGGCAATGAGCTGCTCCAGCCTTTACTCACATTTCATCTGCCACTCACTCACAGCAATAACATTTTCATTACAAAGGTGGGTATTTTCTCCTCAGGTAACAGCCCAGAACTGTAGGGACATAAGGGCTGCCTGCTGAAGGTGAGGACATGATGGAATTAAGTTGCCAGTTTTCAATTTAATGATTTAATAGTAATGGCTGGGCCTGAAACACTTTTGAGGAATGCTGCAAAATCCAAGGTGACAGCAAATCACAAAATCAATAGCTACTCATGTCTCCTCCTAAAGACATCAAACATTTGGTGTCTTCAGTGTTTGAATAAGCACCTTAATAAAATGTTTGAGGCCATAACACAGCCTGAGATGTCAGAACATCCTGACACCTGTCTAATGCAATGTTCAGCCACACGGAGAGCAAACAGACAAGGGAGAGAGCTGTGTTTATAAAAGGAGTTACCAGAGGATTCAGGGGAGCAGACAAAACTATCCAGCTATCCCAAATAACAACAGTTAATTGAGAAATATTTTTTATTTAAACCAAAGGCACAGCAAACTCTAATGTTGCTGTCATTTAAGTGAAATGATCTCTAAAGAAAGGAGATTTGCATTTACAGCTCTGTATTAATTCCCTTTCTCCTTTGGCACCTGCTGTGAGCTGTTTCAAGAAGGGTAATTACCTGTGACAAAGAAAAAAGAAAATAATAAAGGAAGCTGTAAATCATTATTTGTTTTGGCTGCTGAGTAAACCCCACATTTCAGGGTCTAAGACAAGTCAGCAGCAATTCAGTGTGCTGTGCTCAGAGCTAAGGACTCCTGGCTCCTCACAGAAGTGAAACTTCTCAGAGTAAGGCATTATCCTGTTCCAAAACTGCCTCCTGTCTCTTACCCACACTCTGCTGTTCCAGGAGTGTTTCCCCCAGAGCTGACAAGCCTCAGTTTCTCTCGGTGGGCTCTGTTTGCTGGCAGATGCAGGGAGCAGCTCCTCTGGGTGCCTGAGCTCCCTCCAGGGCCAAACCTCCTAAGCAGGAAACAATAGTCTAATTGTCTTTTTTTTTTCTGTTTTTTTTGGGTT